CAGATGTTTTGTCTCTCAGTGTTCCAGATGTTTTGTCTCTCAGTGTTTCCTGTCAGTGCTCCACTCGTCAGCCTCTCCAGTCTCTCATCATTCACACCTGTCTCCAGTCAGTTACCTGCCCAGGTGTTCTCATTATCTTCTCTTCCTCTGTCTCTCCACCACTGACTTGTCCGATCATTGTTCTGTGTTCACTCAGACGTCTCTGTCCTCCTCTGGCTCGTCCCGCCCGATGATCTGTCCCGTCCTGTTACCTGATGTCCAGTTCTGTCCAGAACCTGCTCGCCTGTAAGTTTTTGCTGTTGAAATAAATTGTTATATTTTTAAATAATCTGTTTGAAGAGTTTCAGTCAGGGTTTAGAGCTCATCATAGCACAGAAACAGCACTAGTAAAAGTCACTAATGATATTCTCATGGCCTCAGACAATGGACTTGTGTCTCTACTGGTCCCGTTAGACCTCAGTGCTGCATTTGATACAGTTGATCACAATATTTTACTACAGAGGCTTGAATATGATGTTGGGATTACAGGAACGGCTCTAAAATGGTTTAAATCATATCTATCTGATAGATTCCAGTTTGTAAATGTAAATAATGAATCTTCTTCATACACCAAAGTTAGTCATGGAGTTCCTCAGGGTTCAGTGCTTGGGCCAATACTCTTTACTTTATATAAGCTTCCATTAGGTAACGTTATTAAACAGCATGAGATAAATTTTCATTGTTATGCTGATGACACACAATTATATTTGTCCATTAAACCCAATGAATCCAATCAGATACTTAGACTACAAGCATGTCTTAAAGACATAAAAACCTGGATGACCCTTAATTTTCAGCTTTTGAACACAGACAAGACTGATCCTGGTTCTGCTAAAGGTTTCTTCCTCATGAGGGAGTTTTTCTTTCCACTGTCGCCTTCATGCTTGTTCAAGATGAGAGTTCAGTGATGGAGTTAAACTCAAAGCTGCTCCTCAGATAAATAATGTTCAATTATTATTTTATACATGAATGTTTCTGTTCAATTATTATTTAATATTCAGTGAGGAAAACAAGTATTTGAACACCGTACGACTTTACAAGTTCTCCCACTTAGAAATCATGGAGGGTCTGAAATGTTCATTAGGTGCATGTCCACTGTGAGAGACATGATCTAAAAAAATACAGAAATCACAATGTATGATTTTTAAAAATAATTTGTGTGTTACTGCTGCAAATAAATATTTTAACACCTGTCAGTCAGCAACAGTTCTGGTCCTCAGAGACCTGTTAGTCCTCCTCTAAAAAGTTCACCTCCACTTCTTATTCTAAATCAGAAGCACCTGTTTGAGGTCGTTAGCTGCATGAAGACACCTGTCCACCCCACACAGTGAGACTCCAACTACTAACATGGCTAAGACCAAAGAACTGTCCAAAGACTCCAGAGACTAAATTGTAGACCTCCACAAGGATGGAAAGGACTACGGGACAATTACAAGCAGCTTGTTGGAAAAAGATCAACTGTTGGATCAATTATTAGAAAATGGAAGAAGCTAAACACGACAGTCAGTCTCCCTCAGACTGGGGCTCCATGCAAGATCTCACCTGGTGTCATATCAATGATCCTGAGAAAGGTGAGGAATCAGCCCAGAACTACACGGAGGAGCTGGTCCATGACCTGAAGAGAGCTGGCACCACTGTTTTTGAGATTCTGTAAATTTACTGCCAAGTCAGCATTTTTAGTTTGTTCATGAAACGAGTTTTAAACTCCTCGAGTCTGAAATCTGGAGCCGTCCACCTGCGGTCTGTTTGTGGTGGCTCTTACATGTGGTCTAAACTGGTTCCTGTTGGGTCTAAACTGGTTCCTGTTGGGTCTGGACTGG